AAAAGAGGGAGAAAATGCAGTGTGCACGTGCGAAACACAGGTGCTCTGGCAAGCTCAAGAAAAGCACAGGCTAATCCTCAACTTCGAAATATTAAAAATTGACGTTCTCTCGAGTTTCTGAACACCTCACGACGGCCACGTTTACACATTTTCGGAAAAAAAAAACGATGAAAGGTCATAGTTGTAAAATAGGTTAATTTCGGCTGTCTGTCTTGACTGCCTGCGTATACTGAGGGACCGCCTGATTTTGTGCAGAACTCCTCATGACAAGAATAGAAAAACTGAAATACGTGGGCATGACAAATTTATCTATTGAATTTGAATCCATTTTCCTCTCCCTTCAGCCTTGTGTCATGGGAAGGCAATGCACTTTATCAACACGGGTTAGATTCCTCTTCGTCGACCCCTGGCGCAGGCAACGGCGGATACTTTATACTTCTCTCTCTCTCTCTATCTCTCTCTCTCTCTGTCTCTCTCTCTCTTTCTCTCTCTCTCTCTCTCTCTCTCTCTCTCTCTCTCTCTCTCTCTCTCTCTCTCTCTATATATATATATATATATATGTGTGTGTGTGTGTGTGTGTGTGTGTGTGTGTGTGTGTGTGTGTGTATGTGTGTGTGTGTGTGTGTGTGTGTGTGCGTATAAGGAAAACTCGAGAAATGCTTCAGATAGTCTCTCCCTAACTAACCCTTCTGACCATTACAGTGCATGAAATACGGATTATTTGTATTTGATTTTCGACTCGTGAAACGCATGAACATACACAGAAGAGAAGATACAGACGTAGATAACGAGATAGCCTTAGAAACTGATTTATTTATAGGACTATAGAGATACAGATGGAAAGATGGGAGAATGATAGATAAAGAGAAATATGGGAATAAAAATGCATACTTGTGCACACTTATATAGTATGTATATATCTGTATCTCTCTCTATATAGCTATGTATCTTCTATATATATAAGGAGAGAAATAGAAAGAGCGACTGAGCATGAGAGAAAGAAATCGAGGTTCCAGTATGATGTTCAATAAATGCAAATCCTCGTTAACACAGCCACGTGTTTCAAAGTTTGTCTGTTGGGCGGAAATATATGCCCAGTTCAACAGGCTGTGTGTGTATGTATATGTATACATATATAAGTATGTATATATATGTATATATAGCTCGTAAGTCTATATACATACACGCATATAGTAAAAAAGAAATGCAACACGCACACACAAACACACATATACACTGATGAATAGATACATATATAGATAAATGGATGTACATATATACGCACTTATACATACGTATACATACATACATACATACATATATATATATATATATATATATATATATATATAATATATATATATATATATATATATATATATATATATATATATATATATATGTATGTATATATATATATAAGTTAACATTAAGAAATGCCAGAATTTTCGAAATGCCGGATTTTTTATGGTTATATATATTGCATGCCTTTAACAAAATTACGTGCACATTCCTTTAAAGAAAGAAAAGTAGACACTAAATGAAAAGCAAAGTCAATTTTAATTTTCACCAACTATTTCTTTTTTTATCTTTTCATTTATTTATCTATTTATTAGCACTTTCACTTTCTCGGCATCGACAGTGCATGTTGTTTACGTTTTACCTCCTGTCTCTGCCGATTCCATCATGTGTGTGTGGGGGGGGGGGTGTCTGCGCATGTATGAATATATATATATACATATATATATATATTATATATATATATATATATATATATATATATATATATACACATATATATGTATCTTTATATATATGTATATATATATGTAAATGAATATATATACATATACATATGTATATTTATATATATGATATATGTGTATATACATATAGCTTCATAAGTATATATTTATGTGCGTGTGTGTGAATGTATATATGTGATATTTATACATATATATGTAAATATGTATATATGTGTATCTATATGTATATATATATATATATATATATATATATATATATATATATATGTAAAAAAAATATATGAAAATTTATTATTAAAACATTTACAGGTATGTATATACATATACATATATATATATGTATATATATATATATATATATATATATATATATATGTATATATTCATTTATTTATTTATTTATAGATACGTATATATATATATATATATATATATATATATATATATATATATATATATATATGTATGTATGTACGCATATATACATATACATATGACATTTAAAGAGAAAGAGTAGAAAACAGATAAAAGGCAGACATTGAGAGAGGACGAATACAGTAATATTAATCCAAAGCGCACTCTTTCAGAGTGTCACGTTTCACAAAGTTTTCTCTTTATCGGCAAAAGAAATAAACGAGAAATTCACAGAAAATACTCCGTGGGTAAAATATTTATCTCTTGCTCACTGGATATGTATATGTATATGTATGTAAATACACACACATATGATGTATTATGCTTATCTTAATTTATGCTTATATATTCCTGCATAAACCTCTACACATACCTGCATATAGAAAAGAAGTGCACACACATACACACATATATGTGTGTATAAGTGTGTACAATGATAATATGTGTATCTATGTATTCATATGTGTATTGGGGGTAATGTGTACCTTTTATTTACATTCCATATTCTCATATGAGCGTCTCTTAGTTGCTCTATCTAATGAAACTAAGGTTTTAAGGTTTCTGAAATATACATATAAATGTTATATAGTAACGACACATTTCAATCAGTATTTATTGTGTTTTTACAAAGAGCAATGAATGTTATTGTTTGCACTTTTGATACAAATATCATCCGTTGACTGGAGCACATCAATTAAGAATAATGTAATCAAGCCCTGTAGACGCAGTCTGCAGCGTGGGACACAGACTTGAACGCAGAAACGTTGACTCCGTTGGCGCTGAACACGGCTGCGCACTTCTCCGTCGCCGGCCCGGAGGTCTGCGGAGTGCGGGAGTACACGAAGCCAAACTCAGCCTTGTAGTTGTCGAAGGCGATGCAAGAGTACACGCAGGAGTAGGTGTGGTAGTCGGTGGCGACCACTTGGAAGGGAGCGGCAATGGCTGTGGGGAAAGGATAGTATGGTTGTAATGCACAATGGATTACTTAAAGGTTAGTGTGTATACTTATCGTGGTTATGTTGAGTGTCACAGAGAAAGAAATACTTTTAGTCACACGACAGACTTACTGGACGGGAAGTCAACGAGCATGTGTGCAGCTGGGAAGTCCTTGGTCGGGTAGATCTTGCCCACCATCCTGAGGTAGTCGTTGGAAGAGCTAAAGCCGGCTGTGGTGACTTGGAATCCGCTGTCCAAGGCTGAGTGCTCGAAGTTGGAGTGGATGCAGCGAGTGAAGGGCTGGTAAGGGTTGTCGATGATGGAGCTCTGATACCAGCGCCCGGAATACTGTTGGGAAGAAGCCATTGCATAAAACAAGGATATTCATCCATAATGTGACCAACAACTGCACCAAAGACATGAGAAACAAACTACCTGACGGAAATCGAAGTTGTCTTGGACAGGCACATTCGCACACTTTCCAGGAACCACGAATTGAGGAATGCTGTCAGCTGAGGCGACAGCCACGAGGACAGCTGATAATACGACGGTCAGCATGGTTCTTTCCTTCCCTTGCCTTCCTGAGCTCGGTTCAGTTGAGAGAGCTTTGGTGGCGAAATGAAGCATCGTGCATGGCTTTTATGGGCGAGTGGCGGCGGAGGGCGGGGAGTGTTCGAGGGGCGGGACAAATGACGTTCGAAGGAGCGCCACCTTTTCCTTTTGAGGATGTGTGTACGTTTACTTCTTTGGTACCTCGTCTTCTTTATGATGCAGTTAATTTAAGAGGGCGAACTCCTTGCACAAACACGAAAAAATACAGCAAATATATAAACTGTAGACACAGAATATCAACCATAAAAAGAACGTATCACAACCAGGCAGTCGTCTGCAGGGAGCCTCATGCTACATAAAGCAGGGAACTGCCATTAGGAGCACCAGAAGAGAACCTGTGGCCTTCGCAGCAACATGAACAGCTCACTCCTAGTCCTTGCTCTCGTAGCAGTGGTCGCTGCCGATAAAATCCCCGACTTCGTTGTCCCAGGAAGGTGTCCTGCGGTGGACAAGAAGGCCTTCTTTGATCTGCAGAGAGTAAGCTAAGCTTTCAGAAAAGTTTTCCTGGTCTTTAAATATGTTAACAAGCTGTTTTTTTCTTTATTTTTCAACGAATTTCTATATCTGTATTCCTGAATTTCAGTTTGCTGGAGTGTGGTATGAAATTGCGTTGACCAAGAACCCATACCAGCTGCTTCATCAGTGCGTGCGCAACGAATATTCTTTCGGTACGGTTTTTCTGCGTGAGAAATTGGTCAGAATTCGAAACCATGTGTTCGAATATGTTTACTTGATACACCAAATCTTAGAATGACGAAATTTCCTGCCCTTTAACCTTTCCAGACGGCCACAAAATCACCGCCAGGACGACCGGCAGCAATGCTGAGGGAAGGGCGGCGAGGCGCCACGGACAGATCGCGCCGATGCCTCTGGGAGAACCTAACCTGTCCATTGACTACGAGGGCTGTGAGTATGACGCATTGCACGAACCATGAATCGTATACACGGGGAAGGGTTGCTACACGTTCTGTGAATAGAAATGGTCTTTGACGGAGCTGACAGTACGTGTTTGTTGCATCGGCAGCTTTCCTGGCGCCATTTGTAATCCTGGACACGGACTACGACAACTTCGCCTGCATTCACTCCTGCGTGGACGTCAGTCGAGGCTACTTCGCGGACTTCGCCTTCATCTTCTCCCGCGCCCCAAGCATGTCGGACCGTCACATGAGGCGCTGCGAAACCGCCTTCAGGAACATCGGCCTCGATACGTCCCGCTTCACCAAGACCGTCCAGGGACACACATGTCGCTACGACACCCAGACGGGTTTCTGA